CCCCCCCCCCCCCCCCCCCCAACTCTGTAAAGTCACCAGTATCCGTCTATATGTGTACAAGAATCTGGATGATATAAAGCCCTGTGAGGGTAAAGTGTTGTACCCAAGAACACAGCACACTGATCCAGGGCTCAAAAAATGTGCTTTCTGGTTGTCTGGGACAAGTAGATTTTCCTTTTGGGCAAGTAACTTTTCATTCTGAGGCTAGTCATCTACCAACTAAATCATTTACAAGAGCAAACTAAGACTTGTCCAAGGCAAGAAAGATTTGAGAGCTACTTGTCCCAAGGTTACACTGGAATTCAAATATTTTTTCAACCCTGTGATGGGTTCTAATGCTTTGTCATGGACTACTCCCAGCTGCAAGTCTGCCATGCCTCAGTTTCTGAAGTGAACCTGTAAGTCGCAACCTTTGTCAGTGATACTGCAGATGATTCTCAGGATTTTATTTACATTAATTTTGACTTGCAATAAAGAACTTTGATTATATTTTCAGCAAGAGTTGGGGATCCACAAGCACTGGTTTTCGCCTGATAGAAAATACATTCTGTACGCAAAACAGGAGAAACACGTAAGCTACATTCTGCATTGGTTCGAGTCTAACTTTCCCAAAATGATAATTTTTAACTACGTATAATTATAATGTCTTAAGAATAAGTTGTACTATTAATCTATACTAGCTCTGTTTGCTTTTTTGAATTTGCAATAACTGTATTTTGTTTCTTTTTTTTTCCTTTCAGCAATATAGATATTCCTTTTTCGCAGAGTATTATGTTTATGACCTTCAGACACGGTATGTATTGCCAAAAAAAATTATGCCATCTGATAAATAATTGATTAATTAATTAATTATTTTAAGGAGTTTGATGGCAATATTTGAGTGACCTTTTAAGTACTGCCCTTACTTAAGTTTGTAGCAATTTGTGGAGAAGTTCACTATCCAGCTATTAAAATCACTGTACCATAAATATAGCATATTTTATTTTCATTAACACTTATTATATCGTCCACAACACAGTGCTATAGTGATTGACCTTCTACTGGGTTTTCCAGTTCAAAAAGTCCCAAGAAAGTGTCATCAAGACAGGCAATTCTTACCATGGAGTAACCAAGTGTAGCTAAAGGAAATTTTGCTCGGAGTTTTTCACTTAAATTCTGAGCATTTTTGAGCATATTTCAGGTAGAACTTGAGTATAATAAATGATGCCAATTTTGGTCAAAGCTGATGACGTCAGAAATGGAACAAAAGGGAATGATCGTCACGGCCAGTTACGACCGACACAATGCTTCTGTTAAAGCAGAAATATGAATAGTGTTTAGAAAAGAGAAGGGCTTTCTGTTTCAATAAAGTCATATTGTCAATAATTTTGATTGCAGATACTTGAAAAAAATCAAATAACACATTAATGTACATGTAACACAGTGCTAACTTATATTTTCCTTTTGACTGGCAAGGTCGCAAAAATCCCAACAGCACTATCTATATACACATGCTCGCTTGGTGCCAATAAGACAAATTTTTGGTTTTAACTCCAGGCCTTCTTGTGGTTTAACTTTTACCAATCATTAACTTGATGGTCATTTCATCCTGTTGCTACTAAAAAGATATTTAACTGTTAAATTATTTAGCTACTCAGGTAGAACCCTGTTTTTTGAAAACTGTCAGCAAAAGCAAATTCATTTTTGGCAGGAAAAAAGACTACGGTAGTCACCAACTTCTAGAATTTGGTTTCATGTCATATGGACACACATTAAACAGTTGAGAAAAGTGAAATGAGGCTACCAAATAAGACTCTCAAAACCTGGTGCTACTTCCCTTGTTCCTTTTTGATCTTCACATATGATCAATAAATTGAAACAAAATCACTTGTGTCAACACAACTGAAAGATTAGGCAGTTGCTGAAACCAGCAGGTAATACAGCCTTTAGAATATATCAAATGCCATCAAGTCTAATAAATCTTCTCTGCAATTTTAAAAGCTTACCTCCCTTATCAGTGTAAGTCACTTATAGAATCATTCATTCAAACAAATTTGATGTACTTAACAATCAACATGACCAAGCCACATCAGTCAGGAGTCCTGACCATGGGAGAATGGTTTTTTGCAAAGGGTGCTTTCCTTTGGGGTGATCTGGATCAGGATCAGTGATCCAAGATCGCTTGGATGATGGTGCATCAAAGGAACTGATGATCTCAGATCAGTGATCCTTATCCAGATCACCCCAAAGGAATGCACCCAAAATCTCAGGGTTTTGCTGGCAAGTGTTGAATGATTAATGTTGCAGCTTGCATATGCGCCGAGCCATGAAACCCTCCC